TGACCTCAGCGCGATTTATGGACAAGCCACCGTCCATGGCCACCCAACCTACTCAAGTCATGGCTTCAGATCTGGTGTTCTCTCGCGGCCATGGATGGTGCCTTGAGTCATTTGACCCTAGATTTAAAGTTCGTCGACCGATTGCTCCAGTTCTGGAGTTTGTTCGGGGATGAACAAAAGACGAAACGCTCGTCCATAGCCGACCTCCGCGCGATTTATGGACGAGCCACTGTCCATGGCCACCCCTCCTGCGCGTTTTCAGATCTGTGAAGAGAAGTCGTGACGCCGTCGCCTGTGGATGTGCGGCCGTCCATACCGACCGCCGCCGTCCATGGAAACCCAGATGAAGAAGGATTGCGTTGTTGAAGAAGGAAGAAAAAAAGAGAAATTTCACATCATTTTTTTTAATACACATCAGCAGCCATATGTCCATTTGTAAATGGATGAGAGTAAAATATGACAAACCACTCAATATTTTCTTTCGCTTACTCGCATCGCTTCATGGATTGACTCTTTCTTTGAAGATGATGGTTTAAAAAATTAATTTATTAAATAATGTGGCAAGATTATAAATGAGTCATATTCCACAATCCAAGAGAAAAATTAATTTCGTAAGCTAATTTTAGCAAGTGTATAATTTCTTCTTTTTTGATTTTTTGAGAGGAACATAAATCTCACAAAGTCTTTTCGCAGTGTCTAAGTCAGACGCTTCCTAAGGCGCACGACACGACACGTTGTCCTTCACATGAAGATCTCAGCAGCCACAAATCAACCGTGCCTTCTCTCTCTCATTTTAATACCACTCTTTGCATATTCACATCCCTCACACCCATATCCAGAATGGCCAATTCAGTCAAAATAGCAAGAGCTCTCCTAAACATTCTCGTCGTGTTCGGTCTCATGGCCGGATTCTCGCCGGTGCACGTCTTCGGTCAAGATTCTGTGCTGCTGACCTGTGTTGCAGCCAGGATGGGTATTGCGGTTCCAGAGATGACGGATGTGGTGACGGATAGCTTCTTTAATTTGATAATTGGCCAGGCTGCTGCGGGTTGCGCAGGGAAGAGCTTCTACACTAGGCGAGCTTTCCTCGATGCTGCCGGTGGTTACCCCAAATTCGGCACGGTCGGGTCCACCAACGACTCTAAGCGCGAGATTGCTGCTTTCTTTGTTCATGTCACGTACGCGACTGGAAGTAAGAACCTCTCCCAAAACATGAAATGCAACCTTGTGTGATCCCAATTTAGTCATCGAGAAGTTCATTATGTCCTTTTTGTTTCTCTAATTTTGTTCTCACGATTGAGTTCGTTCATTTTTATGCTTACAGACAGTACCTATGCATGTTAAATTCCTTTAGACTATGCTTGCCAAGTTTGCTCTTTGCCACGAATTTTATTCACTAGGACTTCTAGGAGACTACTATGTTATTGGGATGGTGAGAGCATACCATCTGCTTTCCTTCAGATATGTAATTAAGATTGGATTAATCACAAAATATCAAACCCCCAAAGTAAAAGCAACAAATAACAATTAATCTTTTGGGTGCAGAGTTTTGCTACATTGAAGCGATAGATGGTCCCTCAAAAGATTACTGTGACGAAACGTACACCCAGTATCCATGCAACCCCAACAAAAGCTACTATGGTCGTGGTCCTATCCAAATATCCTGGAACTCCAACTACGGACCCGCAGGACAAAGCATCGGGTTCGACGGCCTCAACTCTCCCGAAACCGTGGCCAACGACGTGGTTGTGTCTTTTAAGACTGCCTTCTGGTTTTGGATGACCAACGTCCACTCCCTTATTACTTCCGGTCAAGGCTTCGGCGCGACGATTCGAGCCGTTAATGAAGGAGAGTGCGGCGGCGGAAACTCGGTCGGCGTCCAAGCTCAGGTCCAGTATTATATTGATTATTGCAACCAATTTGGCGTCTCTCCTGGAGATAATCTTACCTGTTAGAGAGCATAGAAAACCAGTCTCTTTTATGGCATTATAGTTTCTTGTTGAGGAGTATGATATTTCATGACCATGAATTAGCATTTTTTTCCGAAATAACAAAAAGCACTGGGTAATGCAAAACTAGTTGATAACTTGACTAGAGAAGAGTGGGTAAATTGTCCAAAAAATCTTAAACCTATTGTACAGTGGTCAATTTTATCGTAAACCTTTCATTGGTATCAATTTAGTTCTAAACTTTTTGACAACTACCAGATCTGGAAAATCATGAGCCGAGTTTGAGCAATTTACCTGATGGAGTATATTTATGGAGATTAGAGATTTTATTATTAGAGAATATTGTTAGAGATATTATTAGATATTAGGGGTCTTTTTTTTCGTTATTGTTTAAGAATGTAAATTTCCTTTCTTATGTATATTGTTCGGGTATAAAATACCCTCCTCTAATAACGTGTAAAGTCAAGCCAATTGAGTAAATATGTAGTCTTTATTGATTCTTTCTCACTCTTTTTTGAGTATTAGTCGAGATCGAGTAGCTGAGGATAGGGAAAATTGTCCAAATACCAATTCAATCCTAAACTTTTTAAAAGTGCCAATTGAGTCACAAATATCTTCATGTTTTGTCAATTGAGTCCATCCGACCAAATCGTTGACGTGGACCCCGGTCATCCTACTTGGCACGACTAACGCTGACGTGAATAATTCATAATAATATTTTAATATTTTTTTCGAATTATTTATATTTATATTTTTCCTTTTTTTTTCTTTCTCTTTCTTTTTTTCTTCCCTTCTTCCTCTAGCCGGTCATTGGGCCATGGTGACTGGCCAGAGGCGAGGGTCGGCGAGGCTAGACTTCACCATCACTAAGCGAGGCCAACCTTGCCAGGGGCAGCGAGACTCGACCTCCCCAGATCTAGCAAGTTTGAGCCACGCCAGGGGTGGGTGAGGCTTGCCCGAGGTTGAGCTCGCCAGACCTTGCCTGTGGCCGGTCGTCGGCCATTGCTAAGTCCCGGTAACCGGCTAGAGGAAGAAGAGAAGGAAAAAAAAGAAAGAAAAGAAAAGGAAAAGGAAAGAAAAAAGAAAAGTTAATATAAAAATTCAAATAATATAAAAATATTATTAAAAATTATTCACATCAGTGACGGTCACGCCACGTTGGACAGTCAGCATTCACGTGAAAGATTTTCAATCAAAATTGGCCAGATGGGCTCAATTGGCAAAACGTGAAAATTTTTATGACTCAATTGGCAAAATTAAAAGGTTCATGACTAAATAAGTAAAAGTACAAAAGATTTAAGACTTTTGGAATAATTTTCCCCTGTGAGTATGCGGTCTCCATTCTCAAGTGAATTGGCAATGGATGAGAAGAAGAAACGAATGCCATGTTCTTCGCATATTCCAGAGAATCGAGGTCAAAAAGAGGTTTCCACTACGCAACTGTGAAGGTGTGAAGAAGATGTGGTCTGAATGTTAACATTCTATTCTGACCACGGGGGCTGTCCCTGAATTGACCCTTCAATTTGAACACCGGAGGAACAGATTCAGGCATGTCGCATCCCATGCCTAATTGACCAATTCATCGCATCGGACGTGATTGGTGGAATACTTGAGCAATTCCATTATTTATTTATCCTTCCCTACCGTATCACAAAACTTTTGGATAGATTCTACGGTCTAAATTGAAAGAAATGAACTGACACTATTAGTCTTAACGTATATTAGGTGTTTTCTATAAATGCAACCTCTCTCTATGATCACACGATGTATATTAAACATAATCTCGTTTTACTTATTTATCGCTTGTAAAAGCAAGAAATGTTTATCAATGGTTTCTATAGAGAGCTTGTGCATTACTAGGGGTTCTTAGAACGTTCAAGAGGCTTTTAACCTTTGGTTAATCAAGGTAGTGATTCGGCCGTACTGCCTCTATTCTTTGACCTCAACAAGCTTGAAAAGTCAGTTTTTCGTTAAGCACATACCGCTGTCGTTGTTTGAAAATCGGGTTAGGAGATGGTTGGGTAAAAGCGCTTAATTTTATATCGCGTTAAGCATATGAGATAAAAAGTGAGGTCAAATTCAGCAATTTTGAAATGAGGTTCATCAGCTACAAGAGCATGAAGAATCTCGAGATCCTGCAGTGTTGACTCGTGCTCGGACGAGGAAGCTTCAGGTTCGTCAGTCGGGGAATTTCTCCAGAACCTTTAAGGTATGAATCTTTTTTGAGATGAAATTGAAGAGGACGCAAGAATTGTTCACTGGGATGAGGAGAAAATTATGCCAAACGTCAATTTTACACTCGATTTTTGTCGAAGTAAAATGTACACGCGACTATGTTTCTACTAAGCCGATGATCCACAACCGCAACGGTTGGTTGAGTGGTACAAAAAACTTGATTTCAAGTTCGATTCTCCGATCTATTCTTGTCTGGAATGTGAAGGATGAACTTAACTTAGTACATACATGTACAATTTCTCGAAGTAAATCGATAGTCGATAACATTACGCAACATAAATGAAAAGCTCATGAAACTGTTGGACTTGACCAAACGAAAAAGTTGACTTGGCATCTCCAACTTCTGGCAATTACTCGACTGACGAAAAAGTCGAGTAATTGCCTAACTCTTTCTTTGAAAACGATGGTATTGCCCACACTAGCAATGACCGGCACAAGACTCGCCATACCGGTAAACAAATCTGTACGCTCTTTTCTTTTGAGCAGTGCTAGGTCTATCGAGATTGGCTTAAAAAAAATTAATTTATTAAATGATGTGGCCGATTATAAATGGGTCATATTCAATGATTCAAGAAATAAATTAATGTGGTAAGCTAATCTTAGTAATTGTATTTTTTTTTTCATTTTTTGAAGGGAACATAAATCTCATAAAGTCTCTTCGCAATGTCAAAGTCGACGCTTCCTAACGCACAGGACACGGCACGTTCTCCTGTCACATGAAGATCTTGAATTTTCAAAGCAAACTCTCCACAACCTAGCAGCCTCAAATCAACGGTGCCTACTCTCTCTCACCTTATTCCTATAAATACCTCTCATTGCATATTCACATCCCTCACACCCATTTCCAGAATGGCCAAGTCCATCAAAATAGCAAGAGCTCTTCTAAACGTTCTCGTCGTGTCCGGCCTCATCGCTGGATTCTTGCCGGCACACGTCTTCGGTCAAGATTGTGGCTGTGCCGCCGACCTGTGTTGCAGCCAGTATGGGTATTGCGGGACTGGAGATGACTACTGTGGGACCGGTTGTCGATCTGGGCCATGTTACTCATCGTCCACGCCCACCACCCCGAGCAGCGGGGTCTCAGTGGCGGATGTGGTGACAGATAGCTTCTTTAATTCAATAATTGGCCAGGCCGCCGCAAGTTGCGCGGGGAAGAGCTTCTACACTAGGCAAGCTTTCCTCGATACTGCCGGTGGTTACCCCGAATTCGGCACAGTTGGGTCCGCCGATGACTCTAAGCGCGAGATTGCTGCTTTCTTCGCTCATGTTACGCACGAGACTGGACGTAAGATCCTCAACAAAATCTTTAAAGTCCTTTATTCTATACTTGCCATGTTTGCTCTTTGCCACGAGTTTTATTCACTAAGACTTCTAGAGGACATACAGTGTTATTGGGATGGGGGGAGCGTATGATCTGCTTTACTTTAGATATATAATTAAGATGAGATCATTCACGAACTATCAAACTCCCAAAATAAAAGCAACAAATAACAATTAATCTTCTTGGGTGCAGATTTTTGCTACATTGAAGAGATAGATGGTCCCTCGAAAGATTACTGCGACGAAACGAACACCCAATATCCATGCAACCCCAACAAAGGCTACTATGGTCGCGGTCCCCTCCAAATATCCTGGAACTACAACTACGGACCCGCGGGACAAAGCATTGGGTTCGACGGCCTCAACTCTCCCGAAACCGTGGCCAACGACGTGGTTGTGTCTTTTAAGACCGCCTTCTGGTTTTGGATGAACAACGTCCACTCCGTTATTACTTCCGGTCAAGGCTTCGGTGCAACGATTCGAGCCATTAACGGAGGAGAGTGCGGCGGCGGAAACTCGGGCGCCGTCCAAGCTCGGGTCCAGTATTACACTGATTATTGTAACCAATTTGGCGTCTCTCCCGGAGATAATCTGACCTGTTAGAGAGCATAGAAAACCAGTCTCTTTTATGGCATTATAGCCAATCTCGGTTAGCACCATAACCATACTCGATTTCCAATAATGTACGCCTTTTAATAATGGATCTGAGAAATAAAAGGAATATCAGCATCTTGTTGACTAACTGTCCCATACTTCATGACCATGAATTAGCATTTACCTTATTTCGAAATAACCAAAAAGAGTTGGTAATGCAAAACTAGTTAGTAACTAATGCAAATAAGAGTCGCTGAAGAAAAACTAGTTGATTTCTTGATCGAAGAAGAGTGGGAAAATTGTCCAAAAATTTTTGAACTTTATGTACAACGGCAAATTCACTCCTAAACCTTTTCTATTATGACAAATGAATCCTAAACTTTTTATGAGATGCTAATTCGGTCTTTTTGGCCAATTTTAGCTGGATATTGCTTACGTGGACACCAGCCGTCCTACGTGGCGTCTAGCTTGGCCAGCATTGTCGTAGACAATTTTTGCATTTTAAAAAAAATATATCCAAAGTCTTCTTTTGTTTTTCCGTTTTATCCTTTTCTTTTTCCTTTTTCCTGTGGCCGGTACATGGCCATAATTGGCAACCGACCAAAGGCAAGGGTCGCTCATGCTTGTGGTGAGTACTCGGTCATTGCTAGCGATCGGCCACAGGTGAGGGTTGCCCGCAATGCCCTTGCCTGTGTCTTGTGGCTAGTAGCAAAAGGAAGAAAAAAAGGAAAATTTTTTTTTATAAAAAATACAAAAATCATCTACATCAGCACTGTCACGCCACGTTAGAAGGTTGGCCAGCGTCCACAGAAGTGATATCAAGTCAAAATTCGTTGGAAGACTAAATTGGCAAATAATTAAAAGTTTTACGATTAAATTGATACAATTGAAAGATTTAGACTTGAATTGGCCGCTATACAATATGTTTAGAACTTTTTGGACAATTTTCCTAAAAAGAGTTGGTAATTACTCCACAAGGTTGATAATTTTAAAAAATGTTGGTAATTTCGGACAGTTAATAAGTAAGACAAACAAAAGTGGTAATGGTAGATAAATGTTACTAAACTACTCAAATGAAAATTAGTAAGCCAAACTAGTTGGTAATCTAATCGGAGGAAAGTTTGAATTCACACAAATAAAAGTTGATAACTTCATATAATAGTTGGTAAATTTAAGTAATTGGTTAGAAAGGAAAATAAAATTTGGTAACGATAGCAGATGCTTTTTTTTTCGAAAATAAGAGAAGTTGGTATTTTACAAAATTTTTACAAACCTTAGTTACTAACTCAAATGAGAGTTGATGATGCAAAATTATAGTTGGTAACTTAGTCGAAGAAAAGTTGGTGATCATCATACCTCTCAAACAAATGGCCCAAGTTGAGTTTGGATAGATTGAAAATGGGTCCAACCCAAATTGACCCATTTTCATGTGATGAAATTTTAGTGACCCATACCATACTCTACTCGAACTCAACCAAACTCATATTACTTTAACACATTCATATTTAACCTAATCTATCAAAACTTATACCCACCTATTTAACTAACCTTAAGCTCTTCAGGAGAATATGTTACTTGGGTAAAATTATATATCAAATTAAAATAGTAAATTAACAACATAAAAAAGATTTGCTAAAAATGTAGAAAAAACCTAAAAATTGAAAAACTTATAAAAAAGCTAGAAAAAGTATGTCCATGTTGTAACGGCACACCCTATAAATGCACACACTAGAAAAGTCAATTCAATCTTTTTTCAATAGTTTGCATCAAATTCCCTGGCCTAATTATCTCCTCAAATTCCAAGTCATGGTAGATCTATCGTCAATATCATATTCTCAACTTGCCTAACCAAAATAAAAGACAATGCAAGCAAAGTCGTCTGAACATAAAAGCACCAACCCAACTCACTACTAAAAGAATTGATTACAAAAGGCATATTCCTCTTTTTGTTACAATTTACAAAGCCCCAAAAACAAAAATTCGTAGACTAGAGTGGGATCGATTAACATATGATTGGTACATTGCCTATCAACTCCCACATACCTTGATCTTCCAAAGACTCGGACTCATCTCAAGGGAAAGGTGATAAGTGCATTCGGAAACAGCAATCCCAAAGGTTTTTGGGCCTTTAAGGGTGCGCATGGAATCCATTCAGAAATTCTGCTCCAGAATGCATTCCGGAGCAGAAATGCGTTTGTTAAAAAATTTCTGGAATGCATTCTGGAGCAATTTTTGCATTCTGAAATAAAATTGCGTTTGTTAAAAATACTTGATTCCAGAATGCATTCTTAATTTCAGAATGCATTTTTTATTCCAGAATGAGTTTTGGGCAAGAAAAAGAGAAGCTACTTTTTGTAGCTTCTCTCTTCCAGAATGCATTCTTTCTCCCTATTTTCTCTTTTTTTCGTGGCCTTTACAACACATTTTGAGATCTCACTAATTTTTTTTTTTAGAAAATGCATAAAAATTTAAAAATTCCAAAAAAATTCATAAAAATTTCCATAAAATAAAAAAAAGTAAGATTTCGGGAAAATAGGAAATTTGGTGAATTTTTTTCAAAAAATATAAAAAAATCAAAAATTTCAAAACTTCGCAGAATTGCTTAGAATGCCTTTGGGCACCCACTTTGAGTGGAATTTAATTTTTTTGAGGTGTCAAAAAAATCAAAAAATCAAAAATTTCAAAACTTCACAAAATGGTAGAATATCTTTGGGCACCCACTTTGATTGAAATTTAATTTTTTTGAGGTGCCCAAAAAAATCAAAAAATCAAAAATTTCGAAACTTCACAAAATGGCTTAGAATACTTTTGGGCACCCACTTTGAGTGAAATTTAATTTTTTTTAGGTGCAAAAAAAAATCAAAAAATTAAAAATTTTAAAACTTCATAAAATGGCTTAGAATACCTTTGGGCACCCACTTTGAGTGAAATTTAATTTTTTTGAGGTGCCCAAAAAAATCAAAAAATCAAAAATTTCAAAGCTTCACAAAATGGCTTAGAATACCTTTGGGCACCCACTTTGAGTGAAATTTAATTTTTTTGACGTGCCCAAAAAAATCAACAAATCAAAATAGATTTATGTTTTAGAAATCAATTTATGGAGCAGAATTAGTCATGTTTTATCAAACAGATTTCTCCTCCAGAAATCAATTTCTGGCAAGAATTCCGGAAATCAATTTCTGGCAAGAATTTGATTTCTGGAGCAGAATGGTTACCATTCACGCCCTAAAAGTCTTTAGGCAAATGCTGAGGCGTTTGATAAATTTTTTTAGAGAATTTTAGCGAAGTATGTACTGTATTTTTAAAACTCCTCTAAAGTTCCTTAATCTAAGTAGGTTCGAACTAGCTTTGAGCTTTAACATTTCGGAAAGCTAAAGTAAACTTTTGAAATCCCGGAAATAACCTCACCATGCGATGTCATCTCGGCGGTGCGGCGACCGACGAACCGCTTTGCCACGGCCGCGTGTGGGACTCATGCACCGTCGCGCCCACTGCGCTATCAGTGCATGAGGGCACGTGCATCTTTATCCGGCGACGCACAGCCCCTCATTTTGCTCGTCTCGACGAGTACTTCCTGGTTGTCTAATCAAAAACAGGTTTTGATGAAAAACACAAATTGAAACATGCATAAATAGTTCGCCGACAGGAAGAAAACGGACCCAAAATGTGATCGAAACGAAAAACAGGCAGTATACACTTCAATGTCAGAGACCGTACACATGCATGATCGGGAAACAAGTAAGCGGGCTCTGATACCAATGTTGGGAAAACTCATTCCCTGATAGTCATACTTGAAACGAATTTGATCGATGCGGAAAACGTGCCCAATGATCATTAACTTGTATCACCGATCGTACAAGCACATCACAATAACGAACATACTCGGAATTATCACAGATTAAATGCCACTTTGCGCTTGAGAGTGTCATTTGATCGTCTTTCGTACTCACTTCCGTTCTGAAGAAAAACAAAGAAGACTTTACGTTCTAAAGGGTGTGTTCTTACGCATATGAAAATTACGTTACTTTTCCAACTGGTGCTAACTATTTATAGTGATAGGCAAATAACCACATTGTGGGCCTTGTGGCTCATGGGCTGGGTTTGGCCCATCTTGGGCGTCCTACCCATTATGCCTTTCAACCTCCGTTTGCGTGAAACTTGGTGGGACCGGTTCCATGGACTCACCCGGGAACCGTACCGGACCGGTAGTCCGGTTTTCGGGTGGATCCATAAAACTAACGGATGGTTCTCGGTTTCAATTTCTTGGAACCGGTTCTTAGTGGCCAGTTCCCGGTTCCATGTCGGGAATCGCCCCCCGGGACCACGCTCACCCTTAGTGCTAAGTCTATTGAGATTGGTTTAAAAAGTTAATTTTCTTAAATGATGCGGCCGATTGAAGATGAGTCATATTCAACAATCCAAGAGAAATTAATTCGGTAAGCTAATCTTAGTAATTGCATAATGTTTTCTTTTTTTATTTTTTGAGAGGAACATAAATCTCACAAAGTCTCTTCGTCAATGTCAAAGTCAACGCTTCCTAACGCACACGACACGTCCTCCTTCACATCAAGATCTTGAATTTTCAAAGCTAACTCTGCACAACCTCAGCAGCCTCAAATCAACCGCCCCTGCTCTCTCTCTCAATTTATTACTACGAAGACCTCTCATTGCATATTCACATCCCTCACACCCATATCCAGAATGGCCAATTCAATCAAAACAGCAAGAGCTCTTCTAAACATTCTCCTCGTGTCTGGCCTCATGGCCGGATTCTCGCCGGCACACGTCTTCGGTCAAGATTCTGTGCTGTTGACCTGTGTTGCAGCCAGTACGGGTATTGCGGTTCCGCAGATGAAGGATGTGGTGACGGATAGCTTCTTTAATTCAATAATTGGCCAGGCCGCCGCAAGTTGCGCGGGGAAGAGCTTCTACACTAGGCAAGCTTTCCTCAATGCTGCCGGTGATTACCCCGAATTCGGCACAGTCGGGTCCCCCGATGACTCTAAGCGCGAGATTGCTTCTTTCTTCGCTCATGTTACGCACGAGACTGGACGTAAGATGCTCAACAAAATCTTTAAAGTCCTTTAGTCTATACTTGCCATGTTTGCCCTTTGCCACGAATTTTATTCACTAAGAATTCTAGAGGACATACAGTGTCATTGGGATGGGGAGAGCGTATGATCTGCTTTACTTTAGATATATAATTAAGATGAGATCATTCACGAACTATCAAACCCCCAAAATAAAAGCAACAAATAACGATTAATCTTCTTGGGTGCAGATTTTTGCTACATTGAAGAGATAGATGGTCCCTCGAAAGATTACTGTGACGAAACGAACACCCAATATCCATGCAACCCCAACAAAGGCTACTATGGTCGTGGTCCCCTCCAAATATCCTGGAACTACAACTACGGACCCGCGGGACAAAGCATCGGGATCGACGGCCTCAACTCTCCCGAAACCGTGGCCAACGACGTGGTTGTGTCTTTTAAAACCGCCTTCTGGTTTTGGATGAACAACATCCACTCCGTTATTACTTCCGGTCAAGGCTTCGGCGCGACGATTCGAGCCATTAACGGAGGAGAGTGCAGCGGCGGAAACTCGGGTGCCGTCCAAGCTCGGGTCAAGTATTACACTGATTATTGTAACCAATTTGGCGTCTCTCCCGGAAGTAATCTGACCTGTTAGAGAGCATAGAAAACCAGTCTCTTTTATGGCATTATAGCCAATCTCGGTTAGACCCATAACCATACTCGATTACCAATAATGTACGCCTCTTAGTAATGGATCTGAGAAATAAAAGGAATATCAGCATCTTGTTGAGCAAGTGTCCGATACTTCATGACCATGAATTAGCATTTACATTATTTCGAAATAATAAAAAAGAGTTGGTAATGCAAGATTAGTTAGTAACTAATGCAAAAAAGAGTCGCTGAAGCAAAACAAGTTGATTACCTGATTGGAGAAGAGTGGGAAAATTGTCCAAAATTTTTTGAACTTATTGTACAATGGTCAATTCACTCATAAACCTTTCTATTATGACAAATTAATCATAAACGTTTTATGAAATTCTAATTTATTCCTTTTGGCCAATTTTGGCAAGATATTGCTGACGTGAATGCCAGTCGTACTATGTGACGTCTAGCTTGGACGAAATTGACGTAGACAATTTTTGCATTTTTAAAAAAATATCTAAAGTCTTCCTTTGTTTTTCCTTTTTTTTCCTTTTTTTTCCTTTTCTTTTTCCTTTTTTCCGTGGCTGGTACATGGCCATAATTGGTAACCGACCACAGGTGAGGGTCGCTTGTGCTTGTGGTGAGTACTTGGTCATTGCCGATGATTGGCCACAAGCGAGGGTCGCCCATACCTATGGTGAGTACTCAATCATTGCCGGCGATTGGCCATAGGCGAGGGTTGCCCGCCCTTGCCCAGGTCGTGAGGATTGAACCCTCGCTAGATCTAGCGAGGGCTGCAATGCTCTCGCCTGTGTCCTATGTCTTGTGGCCAGTAGCAAAAGGAAGAAAAAAGGAAAAAAACTTATTTTATAAAAAAATACAAAAATTATCTACGTCAGCAAACTCAACACTGGCCACACCACGTTAGATGGTTGGCCAACGTTCACATAAGTGATATCAAGCCAAAATTGGTCGGAAGACTAAATTGGCAAATAATTAAAAGTTTTACGATTAAATTGGCACAATTGAAAATTTTAGAATTGAATTGACAGACATACAATATGTTTAGGATTTTTTGGATAATTTTCCTAGAAAGAGTTGATAATGGTAGATAAATTCGAATAGTTAATAAATAAGACAAACAAAAGTGGTAATGGTAGATAAATGTTACTAAAATACTCAAATGAAAATGAGTAAGCCAAACTAGTTGGTAATCTAATAGGAGGAAAGTTTGTGTTCACATAAATAAAAGTTGATAACTTCATATAATAGTTGGTAAATTTAAGTCATTGGTTAGAAAGGTAAATAAAATTTGGTAAAGATAGGAGATGCTTTTTTTGTCGGAGATAAGAGAAGTTGGTATTTTGCAAAATTTAAATAAACCTTAGTTACTAACTCAAACGAGAGTTGATAACGCAAAATTATAGTTTGATAACTTAGTCAGAAAAAAGTTGGTAATCATCGTAACTCTCAAACAGAGGCCCAAGTTGAGTTTGGAAGGATTGAAAATGGGTCCAATCCAAATTGACCCATTTTCATATGATGAAATTTTAGGGCGCGTTTGGTAATGTTTCTGTTTCTGAGAACAATTTCTTTTCAGAAATAGTTTTTTCTATTTCTATTTCCTGGATGAGTTTCTGAGCAAAAAAATACATTTGGTAACTACATAAAATTTATATTTCTAGAATAGAAAAAGAACAGAAATACGTTTGGTAACTGCACAAAATTTCTATTCCTGAAATAGAAAAAAAAAATAGAAATGTGTTTGGTACAACCAAAAAAATTTCTATTCCCAATTTTTTTCATTCAAGTCTATATCTTTTATTTAACTATAAGTACAAGTTATAAGTGAAAAAAATCAATATAATCAAAAAATTAGTAGGTCGCATAATACGTTTTTGCGGTTTGATTTGGTTACGAAAAAATTGAAACCAAATTAGACCACAGAAAACGGTTTTGTTCGATTTGTGAACTGGTTTTTCTCAAGAAAGTACTCAAACCACAGATTTAAACCTTTTTTTGGCTCACTAGTTAGAATTATACAATTTTTCTGAGGCATTAACGTTATGATGCGAATGTGCTACTTTTTCTCTCAATTCGCTCGACATTTGGATTGTCCATGACAGCTTCAATATCAAACATCTTCAACAAGACTCTCCTGAGCGTTGGGCTAATTTTGCTAAGGTCGAAAAATGGGTCAAACTGGAAGGACTGGATTGAAGAAGAGCTTCCAATGGCCCAGAAGACCTCGACATGTTTGCGTTACTCAAGTATTCTGAATCAAAATACACACTTTGCAAAGAAGCAATGTCGCAACGGGTATAGTTCAACTACATACAATACAATAAACATCTTGTCATCTGTCCCACGTAACACGGCGATACCTAAGTGCATTCACCGAAGAACCTCACAGGAGGAATCTTTCGAAACTTCTTATGACCAATTAATCCCTTTTGATCCCATACGCCACTTAAAGTTACTGAACATCGTGCAGGCATTTTCGAATCGCAGCTTGGAAATCATCGGACTTGACGTCTGTGGGAGGAGGGTACATGCTAAAAACATACAAGATGGGCTTGGATACCTCCATCAGTTTCTTGGTGGGTATAACATCCGACAGTTCCCCGAAGCTCTGCTCAGCGAAAGGAAATGACTGGGTGAGAAAGAAGAAGCTGCTCCTTCCCAGCTTCTCCACCTGGAACAATAATCACAAAGGTGTCAAAACAACACTGGGGACTAACAACGGATATCTACAAAAGATGTCTTGAACACACTATTATGAACTTTAGCAAACGAGTTTAAAGATGCTACTCAAAATCGAGCTGAAAGATTCATCTGTGTAACTACCGATTAGTAAAGATACACTCGAGAACAAACATAAAAATCTAGTTTACGGGGCCATGAATGGAAATTGCGAGCTCTCTACCAAGCCTGATCAGTTGATCACCTATTCCTTACAAGATCCCATGAGCAAGCAAACGCAGCAATGACAAAAAATTGTTACCATCTTTCAGAAACCGTAATTACCTGCAGTTTTGAAAACCTAAGGTTATTCATGGTAAGAACAACAGGCACTTCACATAAAGTGTCGGCAAGTAGCCGAATTGCCAGATACTCGAAGAAATTCTTCATGAAACTTATCTGTCCCTCAAAATTTTTTTTATGTCCACAAACTTCAAAATCAGGAAACCACAAGACGCATTTCACTGACTTCCACAGAACTTGACTCTCTGCAGATTTCCCTATGATGGTTTGGTATGGGTGATGGAGTCCCCACATAATCTTCACATGAGTCAATGACGGGTCAGATATGGAGGATTCCAGAAGACGTGTGGTGGCAACCATTCTAAAAGGATCGTAACTCCGGGCAATGTTGGAGGTAAAATGGAAGGTGGTGTCATCCAAGATATGTAAACCATAAGTTCCTAACGCAGTTTTCAGGGACAACATTCGTACGACTCACAAGGAGGAGACTTTGCCAATTGCGATAGAGCTCATAGAAAATCTTCCCTACGTTACACTACCTAAGTTTTTATCAGATGAACTATCATTCTCACGGAAGTTCCAGATAAAATTGACTATGTACTCAAACTAGAAAATGCTTTGGCTGGTTAGGTCGACCTAATATTTCCTTATTCTCTGAAGCATTGCTTCTCGCGGGCTTCGTTTCATGCCCGGAGGAAATGGGTTTTCGCTGAACACTCAAGCGAAACCAAACTCCGAAAATTTTATCTATTCTCACACAGAAGAAGCTGTAATGACATCCATCCATCCATCCGAATCCGGACACACACTCCACATATCAACTAAAACATCAACATTGATCAATTACCGAATAGCCAGACAACCCACACAATCAGAAAAACAAGACTATTCCATCTAAAAGGGTTCGCAAAACCAACTTCACCACACAAAAAACCCCCCACGAGCAGCAGAATCTGACTCCAACCCAATCCACACCAACAACAACCCTAGCTCGAAAGGCCAAGCACCATCTAAACAAGCACACGCGAGAGGCTCGGAAGGGAAAGAAGAGCATCCAATCAGTGAAGCGGAAGGTAGAACCACGACGAGTACCTTGCCGGTCTGGGCGCGAGGGCCGCCGTCGAGCGAGGGTCGCCCTCGAAGATCTGGGTGAAGGCCGCCCTCGGTCGACGGTGGCAAGGGCTGCCCGCGCCTAGATCTGGGCGCGAGAGCCGCCCTCGCCACCGTCGACCGAGGGCGGTCCGCGCCTAGATCGGCGAGGGCTGCCCTCGCTCGACGGTGTCCCTATAGAATCGCCACACTATCAAACAAAGACGAGAACAGAAAGGCGTACCGGCAGCTTTCGACTGGCCGGGGCTTCGCCGCGAGTGACGGGGTGGTGGCCGGTGCTTTGAGATGGTCTGCAGACGACGAAGGATGGAGGAGGAGCTGAAGCCACGGCTTGAAAGGGAAGAAGACCGTCTGCAGACGATGGTCCTCAGTTTCTCTACCCTTTTACCTTTCTGTTTCTGTTTTTGTTTCTTTGCTTCTATTTCTATTTCTATTTCTGTTCCAAATCTATTTTCTGGTCACTTTTCTATTTCGAGAAATAGAAAAATCAACTGACATTACCAAACGAATTTCTGTTCTTTTTTTGTTTCAGGAAACAAAAGAACGGAAAAATAGAGAAGTAGAAATGTTACCAAACGCGCCCTTAGTGACTCATACCATACTCTATTCGAACTCAACCAAACTTATATTACTATAACACATTCATATTTAACTTAATCTATCAAAACTTATACCCACATATTTAACTCACCTTAAGCTCTTCAGGAGAATATGTTACTTGGATAAAATTATATATCAAATTAAAATAGTAAATTAACAACATAAAAAAGATTTGCGAAAAAAGCAGAAAAACCTAAAAATTGAAAAACTTAAAAAAAAACTAGAGAAGTATGTATATGTTGTAACGGCACACCCTACGAATGCACGGACTAGAAAAGTCAATTCAATCCTTTTTCAATAGCTTGCATCAAATTCCACGGCCTAATTATCTCCTCAAATTCTGAGTCATAGTACATCTATTTAGTCATGGCCACGGTTCAGGAACCGCCGGTTCCGGTTTCGGCCGGTTCCGGTTTCGGCCAGTTCCGGTTCGTAATTTAAAAATTAATAAAAAAAATTATAAAAAAAAAATTGCAGGTCTGGTCTCCGTCGGTCGTCGCTCGGGCTTCGCGGCCTTGGCCACGGTGGTGGAGGCGGGGTTCAAGGCGGCGAGGAGATGAAGCGGGAGACGGGGGCGGCGGAGAGGGGGAGAAGGAGGGGGCCGGGAGGGGGACGGGGATGGGGACGGGGAGGAGGAGTGGGGGGTCCTCCTCCTCCTGGGTCAGGAGGAGGGGAGGAGGAGGGGGTGTCGGCGTCGGCAGCTGCGGCCATGGGCGGCGGCGGCGGCGGCTGCGGGGGTCAGATCTGGGGAGACGGGGGGTAGGCGGACCCGGCGGAGGAGAAAAGGGGAGGAGGCGCAAGGTAGCGAGGGGGAAGGAGGAGGGGGCGTCGGCGTCGGCGTCGGCGACTGCGGCCATGGGCGGGGACGGCGGCGGCGACGGCGGCGGGGGTCAGATCTGGGAAGACAGGGGGCGGGCGGAGCCTCGGAGGAGAAGAAGAAGAAGAAGGAGAAGAAGAAGATGTAGAGCACGTGAGAGAGAGAGAGAGAGAGAAGAGAGAGAGATATATATATCAATGGATGCTGCAGCAGCAGTTTTTTTTTTTTTTTGGAACCGGAACCGGGCCCGTAGGCCACGGGCCGATTCCGGTTCCGAATCGCGAGCCCGGTCAACGGGCCGGTCCCGGGTTTGACCCGGGCCGGTTCCGGGCCAAAACCGGCCTATGGCCATGACTACATCTATTGTCAATATCATATTCTCAACTTGCCTATCCAAAATAAAAGACAATGCAAGCAAAGTCGTCTGAACATAAAAGCGCCAAACCAACTAACTACTAAAAGAATTGATTACTGTTGACACCTGAAATTAATTAGGGTTGTCGACGCTTAGAATAGATGAATAAAACAACAAGAGATAACGTCGCCTGTACTAAGATGATTCATGTAAGACAGCTGGTAAGTACTGATAGTCATAAGCGGGAAATTTGAAATTCAGATAAATAGGGACCAAAAGTGCCGAAGGTATTTTCATTGAGGACGTCGACAAGGAGAAGAGTGAATGCCAAGCTAGGAAGGACTCGATGAAGGCCTTTGCTCCAGAAGAGCGGGTGTCAAACCAGGAAAGACTGGATTAAAAGTGCTAGAGGTATTTTTCATCGATGACATTGATAAAAAGGATGATTGTTATTATCCTAGAGAACAGATGTCAAACGGAGAAAAGCTCGACGATGGTTACCATCCTAGAGGACATGTGTCAAAAGGAGGAAAGCTCGATGACGGTTACCATCCCGAAAGACAGGTGTCAGACGGAGAAAAGCTCGATGACGGTTACCATCCCGAAAGATAGGTGTCAGACGGAGAAAAGCTCGATGATGGTTACCATCCTAGAGGATAGGTGTCAGACGGAGAAAAGCTCGACGATGGTTACCATCCTAGAGAACAGGTGTCAAAAGGAGGAAAGCTCGATGACGGTTACCATCCCGAAAGACAGGTGTCAGACAGAGAAAAGCTCGATGATGGTTACCATCCTAGAGGATAGGTGTCAGACGGAGAAAAGCTCGATGATGGTTACCATCCTAGAGGACAGTTGTCAAACGGAGGAAAGCTCGATGACGGTTACCATCCCGAAAGACAGGTGTCAGACAGAGAAAAGCTCGATGATGGTTACCATCCTAGAGGACAGGTATCAAACGGAGAAAAGCTCGATGACGATTACCGTCCCGAAGGACAGGTGTCAAACGGAAAAAAGCTCGATAACGGTTACCATCCCAAAGAACATGTGACAAGTAAAGAAAAATTCGATGACGGTTGTCGCCTTAGAGAATAAATGGGCTCGATGACGGTTGTCGTTTTAGAGAACAAATAGGCTCGATGATGGTTATCAATTCAAAAGATAAAAGGGGTTCGGTGACAGTTATCATACTAAGGATAGATATCAGCACAGAGAAAGCTCAAGAGCGGTTATCACTTCGTACAAAAGATAAGATCGATAGCAGTTGATAAACAGGTTTCATTAAATGAACGGTGAATATGAAATCGATGATGGGTATCGGATACAACGCCAAGAACGGTTACCAAGTCTGCATTATAAATAGTGTCTGATTATCAACAGGAGGCCCCCCCCGGCACATAACAAAACAAATGTTGTCTTTTATCCTTACTTTCCAGTTTCACACTTTCAGTTTCCATAGATGTAGTTGTTTAGGTCCTTGGTTAGTAGTTTCATTATATCATGTCAATGAACTTTGGACGCCGCCAGTAATTGGACAGTTTCGTCTGAATATTCTGTAAAAAATCAAGTTCGTTATTCACGCCTGGATTGCTCCTGTCCAGAATTGGATCTAGAACCCAACCTCCTTTCATTAAAAGCCGAAGAACGACGTTAGGAAAATTATATTTCGTCGCAAGAACATTTCCAACGAAACAATTACAAAAGCCATATTCCTCTTTTTGTTACAATTTACAAAGCCCAAAAAAAAATTCATAGACTAGAGTGGAATCGATGAACATATGATTGGTACATTGTCTATCAACTCCCACACCCTCCTTGATCTTCCATAGACTCGGACGCATCTCAAGGGATAGGTGATCGATGCACTTGGAAACGGCAATCCCAAAGGTTTTTGGACCTCTAAAGGTCCTCTAGCAAATAATGAGGCGTTTGATAAATTTTTTTAGAGAATTTTAGCGAAGTATGTATTGTATTTTCAAAAATCCTCTAAAGTTCCTTAATCCAAGTAGATCCGAACTAGCTTTGAGCTTTACCATTTCGGAATGCTAAAGTAAACTTTTGAAATCTCGGAAATTACCTCATCATGCGACGTCGCCGGCGAGTCAAATCTAGTAGCGGCTAACCTCACTTAAGTTCCCACTCAGGTGTTGCCTAGAGTCGCGCAACCTAGACGGTGATTGCTAAGGTCACACGACCTCAGTCGAGGGTGGCCATTGCTAAATTTGGCTCGACAATCGCTCGAGCCCTGTCGATGAGTGAGGATTTCTTTTTTTTTTTAAAAGCTAAATTCTTTTACAAATGTAGATTTTTCCAAATAGTTGCTTCCCAATGCACTTTTAAATTACATTTAAAAAGAACCATTTTACATAGAGTTCTATGCATTTTTCCAGTGACTTTCCCCAAAACCCTTACCAAATGCAGCAGATATATGGATTGAAAGTTGGTTCTTTTTGGACCCATAAAAACCAATCATTAATTGGATTTTGCTTTATTATGCTCTTTGCGATTTATACATCACTTAACCTATTGAGTATGAGTTCAAATACATGTCTATGATCCATTTCGCCGCCTCTGCTATATAGACAACTTGAACGAGAAGATAATATAGACAAAAAAGATTTCTATGATTTGTCTTGATATGCCAAGTGGTTATCACTTATATATGCAAGTGGCATTGCAAACACAAGACTGTCATTTCTTTAAAGTAAGATTCAACGTAGTTAGTTAAACTCTATACCGAGTAGCTGCTAAAGAGAGAGATCCATTCCGCGATACGAAAATGATGAAGCAAATCTAAACATAGCATCTCATAGCCTTGGTACTAATCGTGAATTGAACACAATAGTGCAATTCCTTCAATTCTAAACATTATCGTCACTAAAAAATCTCAAACTATCCTTCAATTCATTCCCAGAAACACAATAGTGCAATTTTTGCACTTTGCATCTACAAAAATACACCAAATCCCTCACAAAATCAATATATGATGGCTTCCCAACATTGACGTAAATAGTACCTTCGTTCCCACCACAATATTCCCAATCGTTAGCGCCAATAACAAACTCTCCACCATAGCAAACAATGACACCTACATGATTCCCCTCCATTTCGATGCTGCACCCAAAGAATAAAAATAAAAAGTCATTCATTGGGACCACATAGCAGAATCATCAACAACTTTACATTTAATTGATTAAACAATTATCGAAAGAAACAAAGGAAGCCGATTTATTCAATTGATTAAACAACGTGAGGTCCCCAACACCTATTTTTCAATTCGACCCCATTCAGTCCCCACAGAAACACTAACCAACTAAATAAAGTCAAGTCCCCACCACTGTCCCCAGCACTCCAACCAGTTTCCCTCTGCGCTGAGCCCTCATTTTTCCCTTCACGCCCCATTTTTCAATTCAGTCACATTCGGTCCCCACAATTTTGCCCTCCCCACAAAAGTGATTAAACAAAAGTGAGGTCCCCACCATTTTTCCCTCCCCATAAAAGCAGTCCAAACCGAGCCCTCATTTTGCCCTCCGTGCCCCAATTTGCCTGTCGAAATCCTAAATTCCCCACCCAATTGACCCACGACGAGAACATGACAAACCTGAGTGAAGCGGCTAAGCAACGGTGGGCCAGCAAACAATGGTGCAGCTACGACGACGGTTGATCGACGGCGGGTGAGCGACGGTGGGCCAGCAAACAATGGTGCAGCTACGACGACGGCCAAGCGACGGCGGGTGAGCGACGGTGGGTGAGCGACGGAAGGCGATCGAGGGAGCTATGGCGAGCGAGGGAGTGACGTGAGAACTCAAGATCCGAGCCCTAATTTTAGTCCCCCTTCTTCAGCGACGTCGTTTTTTAAACGCAGTCCACGTAGGAAAATGAAGCAACGTCGTTTCTTGTGGAGGATGGAAAACGACGTCGTTTATGCCTTTCCACGTGGACTGCGATTTAAAATATTTGCCACGTCAACTTATTTTTCTTTAATATAAATGCCACGTATTAATTTGACCGGAATCTCTCGCCGTTGGCACCAAAGTGATCATTTTTCCTCCGATTTGGCACTTAAGTGATACAAATGGAACTTTTGGCACTAAAGTGAGCTCCGTACACAATTTTTGGCACTTCTACTGTTCTTCCCCAGTTATCTTTGCATGGCATGGCGTCATGAAAAAACCTCAATCTTCAAGCATTGTGGGAGAATTAATTGATGGCGCACTATCCATGCTACAAGCTTTACTGTAGTGGTCAAAGGCGTCTCCAATTGGTCGACAATGTCAAGCCAGCATAATTCACATTTTTATATAGGAAAGAGCCTGAAATTTGTTAACAAACTCGGTTTTGTTTTGTGGATAATATTTCCTCAACTCTAATCGTTGTTTTCGGTTACAGTAATAAGTCAATGAAAATTATTTCTTTTGTTGGAACAAAGGATTTGATTTGATTCTAATTCTGATTATGATTACATAGATTGCGGACTAATTGATTCAATCAATCCGTGAGATTGGATATTTAGATAGTAAAATAGGAAGACGTTATCTAATATAGTCTTTCCTATTTTCTACTTGTACTATAAATATACCCATGTACATGTAAAAAGATAGATAGAGAAATTGCACGCGCAATTCATACCAAACTCTTCTTCAATTTTTGTCGTGGTATAAGAGCCTCTTTTCTTGGCCTAACTTCCGCAAAGTCTTCTGGATTGCCCCGGTTAGTTTTCTAATTTGTTGTTGCAAACCATATCCTGAAAAACAAAGTTGGCACTCCGATAGGAATCCACATAACCGTCAATCAACGATACCATATCGAAATATCAAAACCAAAACTCAAGTTCCAATGAAAACCGAGATCCAATCATACCTGCAATGGAGGAAGCTTCCAACTCCCCTCAAAATCATATTTTGGATCAAATTAATCCAACTCAAACGAAGAACCTTCTTCTCAAAATCCTGCCCGTCCCTGCTCAATATTCCGGCCTGGCCCAGTGGCCACTAGTTAACTGGTTTCCGGTCTAGGGCCAATGGGCCGATGGACCAAATTAACAGTGGGCTCAACATGGCCCATCCAGAGAAGAAACAACTTCGGGCCTCGGAACCCAACCCAATGGAGGTGGGCGTGTCCCGTTTGTTCTCGGGACCAACCCAAATGGTGGGTTGGGCTAGTCACCTCCAAGGCACAAACCCAAATTGAACCTGGTAGGTTTAGGGATGAATCTCTACCTAGGTTTTCAACCTGGCTTCATGCCCTCGGCCGTCCCAGCTACCAGTGGCCGCCCAAAACCCGGTGACCCATTTTACACGTCGCCGACTGACGGACTAGAGCTGTGACTCATCAAATTACAGCTCGCCGAACCAGACAATTACATTACTTGGGCTCAAGATTTCCGGCGAGCCTCGTGTCAAAAGGCAAGGACGATTTCCTCGACGAAACTGTGCCTTTTCCAATCGACGATTGAATGCAATGATATTGACACAAGTGCAACCAACTTGTCCGCACATGGATCGGGAACTGTGTAGCTCCTGAGGTCACGGCCAAACTCTCACCAACCAAAGACTCAAAATCATGTGGAACAACATCCACGAGATGGACAGGAAACTTGATTGAGCCAAGATCTTCTCGCTCACCCAAGCCTTGTCGGAATTGAAGCAAGGATACCTTTCGATCACCACTTGCTCCAATTGACTCTCGGCTCTATGGAACAAGCACGAGGTGGCTAAATAACAACTCAAAGGATCTGAGGTGACAAACAAATAGTACCGAGAAATTAAAGAGAGGGAGAAGGTAACTCGATTTATCTTAGTCCTAGATGAAAACTACTCACCTTTTCGATCGCAAATCCTCGCCATGGAACCTGTCCCGCCGCTCGGCCGAATCTAGCAGCTAGCTGTCCAAGAGAGAACCAATGCCTGGCCACAACGAAGTATGTGAGGATGGGAGAGAGCGTAACGCTCGCTGCTCCAGCTAGGCTATCATAGTAAAGCTCACAGCACCCTTGGGCCACATCGTGCGGCGAGTGTCCTATGAAGAAGCAAACCCTAAGGTTTGTAGATAGACGGCTCGGAGAGACAGCCCAGATCAAAGGCACAAATCCGATGGCTATCATCCTTCCATTTATGCGGTTGAATCGACCGGCTCTTATCAAGCCACGTTAAGCCATCCAATAGTCCACAGAGCACCATGTCATCACAAAAAGGGATGGGGAAAATTTTGAAAACAAAAGGTAAATACTGTGAATACTATAAGCGCCCACACCACATCATTGATACATGCTGGAAATTGCATGGAAAGTCAAATGAGAAAAACAGGGAGAAAGATTTTTTTGCTTGTGAGGTTTCAACCTAAGGGACTAAAGGGCAAATCAAACAATTACCCAAGATAGTACAAAATTATTATGAAGGCTCTCAGTCAATTGAGGACTACTAACAAGATTGTGAGTTTTTCAGGTACTTCTTTTTGCAAGACCAATGTTGTCTCAGTTAATATATGAATAATTGATTCAGGTGCCAATGACCATATAATTTACAATCAACATTTTTTTTTCTGATGTTCACAAAAAACCCCACTCTTCCGTATCAATACATCTTCCAAATGGAAATGTCACTCATGTCACCTAAATTGGTATAGTTCATCTTAGTCCGAATATTATCCTAAAAAATGTCCTCTATATTAATGAATTTGAGTTCAATCTTATATTTGTTTCCAAGGCCTGTGAGGACAATTCTTGTTGTGCCATATTCAATTCCAAAAATTGCTCCTTTCAAGACCATTCGACTGGCAAAATTGATGGGCTTGGGTAGCGTTGCACAAAGACTATATTTTTGGATCAGCTTTCCAAAAGACTTTGACTTGTCTTCATTAAACAAAAGCATTTCATGAAATGCTACCACTAATAAAAAATCCTTCTTTCTCATCAACATTTAGGCCATAGTGCTCATTTTCCTTATCCAACTATACAATATGCCCTTTGGCAAAGCAATCACGAGCATCATTTCCAACCGGTACATCTCGAGCTACTAGTGCATTTTTCTTGATTCATGTAGATATCTAGGGTCCTTATCACATTTCACATCATGACGGATTGAGTTTTTTCCTCACCATTGTAGATGATTAAACCCGCGCTACTTGGGTTTTCCTTATGTAATCCAAGAGTCAAACTTTTTCCCATTTGTCGAATTTTGTCTCCTTGATTAAAAAACAATTCAATAAATTTGTCCAATGAATTCACAGAGATAATGGACACGAGTTTTTCACTACTGAATGCAATTCTTTTCTATCTTCTTATGGGATACTTCATGAAAGCTCTTGCACTTACACTCCCCAACAAAATGGGATTGTTGAGCGCAAATATCGACATCTCTTAAAAGTAGCTTGAGCACTCAAGTACCAAGCTTCCATTCCCGAAACATTTTGGGAAGATTGTGTGTTCACAGCAACTTATTTAATTAATCATATGCCAACTCGAATTTTTGAAGGTTAAACTCCTCTTGAGATGCTCTTTAAGAAACAGCTGGAGATTGATCACCTAAGAGTTTTTGGCTGTTTGTATTATGTGACAACTATAGGCCCTCGGGATAAAATGAATCTTATGCCCTTCAATGTATTTTCATGGGATATCCCTATCTATAGAATAATTATCGAGTTATGGAGATAACTACAGGCCGTTGCTTGTAAGCTGAGATGTTGTTTTCCACGAATATATATTCTTATTCCAGGAGATGACATCTTCATCCCAATCGTATGTATCAACATCAAATCGTCGTCGGTTCTTATCAGAAGAAGATTTATAAGTGACTCCACAATATGTCTTCATTTCACCAGACCACATGGCATTCATGCAAGCTAGTTCCGAATCCTCAAATCAAGTGATCGAGTCTCCATTATCTTCTTGTGAGTAGAACTAGTCACCCGCTTCATCTCAACAACCATATATTGATAGATTTCTTCTTCACTAGTTCTTGAGCAAATAACTACTTAGCAACATCAACTCTCTAGACGTCATATTTGCCCACCTACATGGACCAAAGACCACATATGTCCCACATTGGATCCTATAGGTGCACATTATCACGGGGAGAAGAATACTAGAAGTGTCAAAGCTTGTGTACGGCTCTCACTTTAGTGCCAAAAGTTTTTTCCGGATCACTTAAGTGTCATTTTTTAAAAATAAACGATCACTTAAGTGCTAACTCCGATTTGGGTCGCCAGAAATTTGGTATTGCCATATTTTATTAATTTCTCTATCCTATGTGGCACATCGGCACTGACGGGGATAATATTTAATAATATTTTAATATTTTTTCTATTTTTTAAATATTTTTTTCTGATTTTTTTCCTTCTTTTCGTTTTTTCTTTTTTTTTTCTTCTTTTATCTTTGACCGGTGACCGGCCACCGGCCATGGCCGGCAGCTTGGCCTCGCCCAGACGAGACCGCCGTCGGACGAGGCCGTCGTCGCCCGCCACAGGCGAGGCCCGGCCTAGTGAGGGCGGGCGAGCCTTGCCAAGGGTCGGCCTCGCCTCGCCTGGGCAAGGGTGAGCCCCGGCGAGGCCGCCCTCGACGGGGCTCGCCCTTGCCTAGGCGAGGCGAGGCGAGGCCGACCCTCGCTGGGGCTCGCTCGCCTTCGCCTAGGTGAGGGTCGACCGGGCCTCGCCTATGGCGGGAGACGTTGGCCTCGTCCAGGCGAGGCCAGGCGGCCGGCCATGGCCGGTGGCCGGTGTCCACCGGTCAGTGGCCAAAGATAGAAGAAGAAGAAAGAAAAGAAGGAAAAAAGGAAAAAAAATCAGAAAAAATATTTAAAAAATCGAAATATATACATGAAAATGCCATGTAGACTGATTTTAAAAAAAATCCAACTCAGATTAAAATTTAATTATAAAAGCCACGTATTATTTGGCCGAAATTTCTCGTCGTTGGCACTTAAGTGATCGTTTTTTCTCCGATTTGACACTTAAGTGAGCCGGCAAAAACTTTTGGCACTAAAGTGAGCACCGTACACAAGTTTTGGCATTTCTAGTGTTCTCCCTATTATCATGTATCTTCATATGTCTCATTTAGTCGACTATTATGAAAACACAAGTATTGTATTAGTCACATATATAAGAAACAAAAACCTTCTTCTTATGATGGAACAACATGTGATCTACACTGGCAACAGGCTATGGAGGCTAAATTAAATGCCCTCATAGAGAATCATACTTGGGACATCGTTTCCATACATTCACATAGAAAGCCAATTGGTTGCAAATGGGTACACAAAATCAAATACAAGATAGACGATTTCATTGAACGCTACAAGGCTCGGCTAGTTGTCAAGAGATTCATCCAATGGGAAGGTTTTGATTATTATGAAACCTTTTCCTTAGTTGCCAAGGAGGTAAATATTCGTTCTTTTTTGTCCATTTCCACATTTCGCAATTGGCAATTGCATCAAATGGATGTCCACAATGCTTTTCTCCATGACGATCTGGACAAAAAAAATCTACATGGAACTTCCACAAGGTTTATGAAGTTAGGAGGAGTCTCGGGTATGTCGTCTCTGTAAATCCTTATATGGACTTAAGCAAGCTTCTCGGCAGTGCTATGCCAAATTTACCACTGCGCTCACAAATGCAGGGTTTCAGCACTCCAAGCATGACTATGTCCTATTCACATGGACCCCTTCATCAATCTATTTATCGATATATATTGATGATATACTTATTATGGGAAATAATGATTCTGCTGTTAGAAAGTTTAAGGAATATCTGCAATCTATTTTCCATATCAAAGATTTGGGACCTCCCAAATATGTCCTTGGTATTGAGATGGCTTGGTCTAACAAGGGAATATGCCTCGACTAATGGAAATTTGTTTTGGAAATTACATCAGAAGCATGACAGTTAGGATGCAAGCTAGCTTTTATACCTATTGAACAAAATGCCAAGCTAACAATGCTTGAATATGATGTGAGTTCATCATCATCTAAAGAAGATCAATTGCTCAAGGATCCATCAAGATATTAGCGGCTTGTCGGGAGGTTGATCTGTCTCAGCATTACCAAGCTGGATATATATATTATGCAGTGTAGATACTCAACCAATTCATGCATAGCCTGAAACAGTCCCATATGAATGCAGCACTGAAGGTTGTAAGTATTTAAAGGGATGCCTAGGACTTAAAATTATTTTATCTTGTAATTGCAACATGAAGGTGATGACCTATTGCAATACAAATGATGCTACTTGCCCATTGACCAAAAGATGTATCACTAGTTTTTGCATTAAATTGGGAAAATCCTTGATTTCATGGAAGACAAAGAAGCAGTAAATTGTCTCATTATCGTCAACCGAATCAAAATACCAAGCTATGGAAAAAACTTTTCGTGAAATAATTTGGATACGGGATTTACTTTCAAACCTTGGCGTACAAGTTGATGGACCAAGCAAACAATTTTGTGACAATGGTGCCACACTCAAACTAGCGGTAAATCGTCTTTCATGAAAGAATAGAACATATAAAAATTGATTGCCACTTCACTTGAGACAAAATTCAAGAAGGGATAGTTACAACACGGGGTATTGGAACTATGGAACAACCCGCAGACATTTTCACTAAACCATTGTGTCAAAGACAACATGCGTATCTACTGAGCAAGCGAGGCATCTTCGACATATACAGGCCACTAGCTTGAGGGGTGTCGCGACCTACCCGTCTTGATTGGTTAGGCCAAGAGGTATTTATCGAAAGATGTAAACATTAATTGACTCGTTTGAAGGACAAACCAAATAGTTCATTAATCCAAAGAACGAGGTACTCCCAAACCTCAAATCTCGCACGACGAGAATTGTCTAATTTGCACATTTGAATGGAGTCGCCACTAGCCATAATCAAGGGTTGGCTAGAACCCTAATCAAAACGTGAGAGTATCGTCTCGATATACGTGAAAATCAGAGATTCTAAAGATCGGGTACTTGATTACACTAGCGATCTAACTAGTGCCATTTTCGGTACCTAAACTTGAACGCTCACAAACTAACACACCGGGCAGCCTATCGAGAAAACTTACGATTCCACCTAGCCATGCTAAAAATGGAAAAT